GCTGCGTTGTTGGTGTTTACGCTGTGGTTGACATTGCTGCTGCGGTTAACGATGGTGCTGCGTTGTTGGTGTTTACGCTGTGGTTGTTGACATTGCTGCTGCGGTTAACGATGGTGCTGCGTTGTTGGTGTTTACGCTGTGGTTGTTGATATTGCTGTTGTGGTTATTAATGCTACTGTTGTGCTTTTAGATGTTGCAGTTGTGGGTACTGATGCTACTGCTTCTGCTACTGTGGCTACTCTAGTGGTGCCACCACTATGGCAGAAAAGCGACAAAACTGTCTAAGGACACTTGAAGTTGATGCAGCCTAAGGCACTACGATGGGCTACTGTTGCAGCAGTGACCATCGACTTACTCGTGCTGAACTCAGAGATCCGATTTTTAGCGTTGTCTTCCGGGACGAGCAGGTAAGGAATAGGAGTGGGTGAGGTTAGGGAGGGCGGACATCACTTGAGCCTCGGGGAAGGGAAGTCACTGATACTTCTGCAACTAACACACTCACCACCATTATCACCCCAACCAGTGGTAGTACTGGTGGTAGTGGTGGTGGTGGGTGGGAAGAGAATGTTGCAAGTGGTCGAGGGGGTGGTGATGGTGAGGAGAGTTGGTGGTGAGGGAAGAGGTTGTGTTTGTGGTGCTGTTGGTATACCTATGACTGGTTCCAAGAGTTTGTCTTCCCTCACAGCCCGGCCTGCGGCCAAACTATTGATTAGATTGCCTGTTTAACCAGGCTGTTGTTGTTAGTGGCCAGCTGGCCGTGACAGCCCTCACAGCCTTGTTGATCAGACCCTTCAAAGATATTTCCTCTTAAAGACTTCTGTTGTTCTGGCAATATTTCTGATATCTACTAGAAGGGTAACATTGGACCACGGATGTTGATACAGTGTTCTCTTATTGTGACCGTATCTCTCCACTTTTACAATTCCTCCCATATTCTCTCTAATACTTTGTATGTTACTGTATAGATTTTGCAACAGGCTTTAAGTGGATTCCTAGCACTTTGAGGCGTCCCTAGTAGTTTAGATGTTTCATTGGTTCTATGCAAAAGGTAACGATCGTTTCCTGGTATATATCACCTGCCCTGAACGGGGCCGTCAACACAACAATATTCTAAACGACTGCTACGGCCCTGTGCTGTACTTTCTACAAGATTGATGGACTGAACACATCGAGTCCAGACTGAGGGACTGATTACTTCAAACTCCTCCTCTCCTTATACCTTCCTGCTTTTTATAAGACTGATGAAGCCACTGTGTGGCGAAACGTTTCTTCAATAAAAATTCCCATATGTTACATAAGTGTCTCAATTCTACACCTATTTTACTGCTAGGTGAGCAGTGACAGCAGGTATAAGGTAACTAACACCCAGGTACCTACTTACTGTTAGGTGAACATGGACAGCAGGTGTCTTAAGGAAGTACGTCCTAATGTTTCCACCTGTACCGGGGATCGAGCCACGGACCTCAGTGTGTGTGTGCTGAGTGCGCTACCAACCGAGCCACGGTAGGCATCACCCACTATTTACCTCCCTTCCCCCGTCAAAAAAAAAAAATCACAGAAATATTAATCTCGTGCACTGTGTACCATATGCCTTATTAATCTGATTATTGAAATCTGGTGCTTACCCTCGTGCACAGGATGTGCACCTGTTCACGGTCTAGGAGCAAGCTGGTGCCCCGGGGGCAGGATGAGAGATCCTGCCCCAGGGCGCCACGGGTGAGGAAGGATACCACACATATCCTTCCGTTGAAGCAGCGCAGGAAGATCAACCTCGTTCAGCACGTCTCGCGCACCCACACATTCACGAGCTTCGTCAGTACCACGTTTCGCTCACCAGGGGCTTTATCGATGCAATATTAAGCTTACCAATTCTGTCAATACGACGTCTCGACCACCAGAAGCTTTAACAGTCCGTTATGATGCTCACTGGTTCTGTCAAACCAACGTTTCGCTCACCAAGAGCTGTATCATTTCAATCGATGGACAGATACAGCTCCTGGTGAGCGAAACATTGGGTTAACAAAGCTCTTAGAGAGCAAAGCGCTATTATTAGAGCTCCCAGTGAGCAAAACGTTGGAAAACGTCTGATTTACACGAGCGGAAATGAGTATTACCAAGAGTACTTCTGAGATTGCTCTAAGATCGATCAAAGATCGCTGAGATTGCTCTAAGATCGTTCTAAGTTGCTGAGATTGCTCTAAGTCGATCAAAGTCGCTGAAAGTGCGCTAAGATCGAGCAAAGTCTCTGAAAGTGCGCTAAGATCGAGCGAAGTCGCTGAGAGTGCTCTAAGATCGAGCAAAGTCGCTGAGAGTGCTCTAAGATCGAGCAAAGTCGCTGAGAGCGCTCTAAGATCGAGCAAAGTCGTTGAGAGTGCTCTAAGATCGAGCAAAGTCGTTGAGAGTGCTCTAAGATCGAGCAAAGTCGCTGAGAGTGCTCTAAGATCGAGCAAAGTCGCTGAGTGTGCTCTAAGATCGAGCAAAGTCGCTGAGAGTGCTCTAAGATCGAGCAAAGTCGCTGAGAGTGCTCTAAGATCGAGCAAAGTCGCTGAGAGTGCTCTAAGATCGAGCAAAGTCGCTGAGAGTGCTCTTAGATCGAGCAAAGTCGCTGAGAGTGCTCTAAGATCGAGCAAAGTCGCTGAGAGTGCTCTAAGATCGAGCAAAGTCGCTGAGAGTGCTCTAAGATCGAGCAAAGTCGCTGAGAGTGCTCTAAGATCGAGCAAAGTCGCTGAGAGTGCTCTAAGATCGAGCAAAGTCGCTGAGAGTGCTCTAAGATCGAGCAAAGTCGCTGAGAGTGCTCTAAGATCGAGCAAAGTCGTTGAGAGTGCTCTAAGATCGAGCAAAGTCGCTGAGAGTGCTCTAAGATCGAGCAAAGTCGCTGAGAGTGCTCTAAGATCGAGCAAAGTCGCTGAGAGTGCTCTAAGATCGAGCAAAGTCGCTGAGAGTGCTCTAAGATCGAGCAAAGTCGCTGAGAGTGCTCTAAGATCGAGCAAAGTCGCTGAGAGTGCTCTAAGATCGAGCAAAGTCGCTGAGAGTGCTCTAAGATCGAGCAAAGTCGCTGAGAGTGCTCTAAGATCGAGCAAAGTCGCTGAGAGTGCTCTAATATTGATCTAAGATCTCTGAGATTGCTTTAATATGGATCTAAGATCGGTGAAAGTGCTCTAGGATCGATCTGAGATCGCTTCTAGATTCCTCTGAGATCGCTTCTAGATTGCTACAAGATCGCTTTGAGCACCGCATCCCTCCGGACACGTACGCACGCACTAACGCATATGCACGCAAGTGTCCGCGCATGCACGCACGAGCATTTCCTTTCCGTGCCTGAGGGCGGGATGATCCAATGGACCATCCCTTCTCTTCCTGTTTCCTCTCACTCTTCCTCCTTTTTCACTTTGTCCTCAACTCTTTCTCTACTCCTTTTCCCTTTCCTTGACTCCTTCCAGCTTTCCTCTCTCTCTCTCTCTCTCTCTCTCTCTCTCTCTCTCTCTCTCTCTATACATAGCAAAGGCTCTCTCTTTCCCATACTGGATAGTCATTCTTTTTTTTAGTGAGCTTAATGTTTTGATGTGTGAGGCTGCATGTCGTAAGAGAGCTCAGGAAGCTTCTGAATGACTCTGGCCGAGTTGGGACTGAAGCACACAGTACCTAGGTTCGAATCACCGTCCATTCTACAGGTCATTCTTTTCCGTGATTGAGGGCGGGATGGTCCGATGGGCCATCAAGTCGTTCATTACGACTTCTGAAGAGTTAGACACATGTGCAGCATCTGGGTATCTTTACTGTAGACGTTTTGCCATCTTTTGTATATCGTTCTACTGTCTTCCAATTATGTCCTTGAATTTGTATTAAGCCATTGGATGGCGAAATGTCTACAATAAAGATACCCAAATGTTGTACTTGTGTCTAATTCTTTCTGTACTAAATGAATATAACTACGACCAAAAGTTTTAAAGGGATGGAGGGGTAAGCCAGTGAAAGGCCTTGGTCAGATGACCAAAAGCTCCAGCTGGGGTCATATGACTAAGACCCGCGTCAGGAAACACTTGTCCTGTTTCCTGACAAACCTTACCTACTCTAACCTGTCTAATTCTTCATCTTGTCGGTATTGTATACCATACATGTTATTACAACTTCTCTGGAGTTTACAGATTATATGGAACAAATAGGTACAATACTGTGACTGGAACAACACACAAATAACCAACACATAGGAAAATGAAACTTATGACGACGTTTCGGTCCAACTTAAATCATTAACTAGTCACTATTTAATGCTCGAGGTGAGACCGAAACGTCGTCATAAGCCTCAGAGATTCCGGCTGTTCCAGGAACTCCGATCATTCCAACAACTCCGGCTATTCCAGCAACACCAGTCTTTCCAGCAACTCCGACTGTTCCAGGGACTTCAAGAATCTACAGACTCCAGTCTCTGCATCAGTAGCTTCCAGCTGTCTCTTACATCAACAAAGGCGTGGGGAAACACCTCCACCTCCATACCACTAAGAACAAAGAATGTGGAAACCCTCAATTGGAGTCCCCAAAAAAAGGGGGAGCAAGACTCGTGACAACTTTCAAAGTGGGTTGACTTCATTAACCAGGCGGCCATTACACCGTCCGCTGGTCTTAGCCAATCAGGCTGCTACCAACCTCTGACGTCATGCTTGCTTTAACCAATCACAGAGCTCCTCGCTTCTGACATCACGCTCATCCCGCCTACTTGGAGGCGGGAAACTAAAAATGCCAGAATTTCCTCAATTATTTTTTTATATATAATAAAAATGCATTCCATTATAAATAAATGAAGGAAATCTGACCAAATCACAAATTACTTTCCATAAATTAAGTAATCTGTGTTATGTAATTCTTGATAAAGATATTTAGTAACGCAAAACGGAGAAATTGAAGAGAAATCCAAGCAGCAGCAACTAGTAAGAGAACTAATAATGTCGGTAGAAGCATAACGTTATTATGCGCGTTATTCGCTACAAATGAAATGTGCCGTGTATCAGTGAGCGGGAGTGCGCGAGAGAGTGCGGTGTCGGCCTCAGTGCGCGCACAACACATGCGCTGGACCGGGATTTTTAACAGCTGGTAGAATACCAGTGACTAATGTGCTTAACTTGTAAGATTGTGTGTCAGGTATTGCGCAGCTTGTGTTGCTAACTTTATGTGTTGAGAAGGACGCTAAGATTCTCCTTCTTGCGAGGAATCTTGACTACACACCGTCACAGCTGCTGGGGTAAGCTAAAGAACCTCCGATACACTTGGAATCAGGGGCGGACCTGTGTTTCTGGGGCCCTGAAGCTTGAACAGCTGTGGGGGGCCCTAAAGCTTGTACTGTTAAAGGGGCCTTGAAGCTTGAACTGTTATGGGGGCCCTGAAGCTTTGAACTCTTATGGGGGCCCTGAAGCTTTGAACTCTTATGGGGGCCCTGAAGCTTTGAACTCTTATGGGGCTCTGAAGCTTTGAACTGTTATGGGGCCCTGAAGCTTTGAACTGTTATGGGGCCCTGAAGCTTGAACTGTTATGGGGGCCCTGAAGCTTTGAACTGTTATGGGGGGCCCTGAAGCTTTGAACTCTTAAGGGGGCTTTGAAGCTTTGAACTCTTATGGGGGCCCTGAACCTTGAATTGCTATGGGGGTCCTAAAGCTTTGAACTGTTATGGTGGACCCCTGACGCTTTGCACTCTTAAGGGGCCTTGAAGCTTTGAACTCTTATGAGGGACCTCGTACCCAGCAACAACTAGCCTACATACTATAAAAACGTTTTAATTATTCTAGCTGTTATTTGGTACTGAATTACACTATATTAATATCATTAAAAAGAGTTGCCCTTCTTATATAGAAGACCCAAAATTTTATAATATGGACTAAAGAGGCTTCTGGGGTCCCATCGGGATTAGGGTCTCTGAAGCTTAAGCTTTATTAGTCTCATAGTAGATCCGTCCCTGTACTTGGTATATTGTATAAATATTTTAGAAAATCGACAGTTTGATAATGGGTCGACAGTCATTCAGTTATTGAGTGATGACGAGGCACAAGCGCATCTCTTGGGGGATTTTTATTGTGGAGAAGTTTCGCCTGCTCAGCAGGCTTCTTCAGTTGAATACAGATAGCTGAAGCAGTGGAGAAATAATTTTTGAGGTGGTCAGTCCCTCAGCCTTGAAGAAATAGTTTTGAGGGGGGTCAGTCCCTCAGCCTTGAAGAAATAGTTTTGAGGGGGGTCAGTCCCTCAGCCTTGAAGAAATAGTTTTGAGGGGGTCAGTCCCTCAGCCTTGAAGAAATAGTTTTGAAGGGGGTCAGTCCCTCAGCCTTGAAGAAATAGTTTTGAGGGGGGTCAGTCCCCCAGCCTTGAATAAATAGTTTTGAGGGGGGTCAGTCCCTCAGCCTTGAAGAAATAGTTTTGAGGGGGGTCAGTCCCTCAGCCTTGAAGAAATAGTTTTGAGGGGGGTCAGTCCCTCAGCCTTGAAGAAATAGTTTTGAGGGGGGTCAGTCCCTCAGCCTTGAAGAAATAGTTTTGAGGGGGGTCAGTCCCTCAGCCTTGAAGAAATAGTTTTGAGGGGGGTCAGTCCCTCAGCCTTGAAGAAATAGTTTTGAGGGGGGTCAGTCCCCCAGCCTTGAAGAAATAGTTTTGAGGGGGGTCAGTCCCTCAGCCTTGAAAAAAATAGTTTTGAGGGGGGTCAGTCCCTCAGCCTTGAAGAAATAGTTTTGAGGGGGGTCAGTCCCTCAGCCTTGAAGAAATAGTTTTGAGGGGGGTCAGTCCCTCAGCCTTGAAGAAATAGTTTTGAGGGGGGTCAGTCCCTCAGCCTTGAAGAAATAGTTTTGAGGGGGGTCAGTCCCTCAGCCTTGAAGAAATAGTTTTGAGGGGGGTCAGTCCCTCAGCCTTGAAGAAATAGTTTTGAGGGGGGTCAGTCCCTCAGCCTTGAAGAAATAGTTTTGAGGGGGGTCAGTCCCTCAGCCTTGAAAAAGTAATTTTATGGTAACTATGTAGACGTGTAGGATGTTGGCAGCAAAAACCTGACACACATTGGGTCAATGTTTCGGTCTTTGAAGTGCTTTATCAGAGCGAAACGTTGACCCAATTAAAAGCTTTCTCTGCAACGTGTCTTTTCCTCACTACTGTAGCTAGCATCCCATTTGCACCCCACAACAGCTTGCTTGATCAAACAGCGAAGAAGTCCACTCTTCAGTGTAAATAAACGGTATAAAATACCGAAACGATAAAGAAACACGTTAGGTAAAAGGACAAGTGCAACTAATGTGGCATTTTATTGTGGCAACGTTTCGCTCTCCTGGAGCTTTATCAAACTGTTACAAACAATACATGGACACAGAGGGTATATATAGGCTTAGAGGTGTAATACTAGTGGTGGTAGTAGTAATACTAGTGGTGATAGTAGTAATACTAGTGGTGATAGTAGTAATACTAGTGGTGATAGTAGTAATACTAGTGGTGATAGTAGTAATACTAGTGGTGATAGTAGTAATACTAGTGGTGATAGTAATACTAGTGGTGATAGCAGTAATACTAGTGGTGATAGCAGTAATACTAGTGGTGATAGCAGTAATACTAGTGGTGATAGCAGTAATACTAGTGGTGATAGCAGTAATACTAGTGGTAGTACTAGCAGTAACAATATTAGTGGTAGTAGTAGTAATACTAGTGGTAGTAGTAGTAGTAATACTAGTAATAGTAATACTAGTGGTAGTAGTAATACTAGTGGTGATAGTAATACTAGTGGTAGTACTAGCAGTAACAATACTAGTGATAGTAGTACTAGTGGTAGCAGTAATATTAGTGGTATTAATACTAGTGATGGTAGTAGTAATACTAGTGGTGATAGTAATACTAGTGGTGATAGTAGTAATACTAGTGGTGATAGTAGTAATACTAGTGGTGATAGTAATACTAGTGGTGATAGTAATACTAGTGGTAGTACTAGCAGTAACAATATTAGTGGTAGTAGTAGTAATACTAGTGGTAGTAGTAGTAATACTAGTAATAGTAATACTAGTGGTAGTAGTAGTAGTAATACTAGTGGTGATAGTAATACTAGTGGTAGTAATAGTAATACTAGTAGTAGTACTAGTGGTAGCAGTAATATTAGTGGTAGCAGTAATACTAGTGGTAGTAGTTATAGTAATACTAGTGGTAGCAACAGTAATACTAGTAGTAATACTAGTGGTAGTAATAGTAATACTAGTGGCAGCAGCAGTAATACTAGTAGTAATACTAGTGGTAGTAGTAATAGTAATACTAGTGATAGTAGTGGTATTAATGCTAGTAATAACAGCAGTAGTAATACAGTCGACTAGTACAAGAGTTCAAAATGTTAGTCAAGCCCATTGCTTAGGAAGCATAAAATTAGGCAAATAATTTTGTTAGTTGGTCACAAACAGATCTGTTTGTGACTTGATAAAGACCACTGTGTGGGCGAAACATTGTCAATAAAGGGACACATTATACTGCAGGAGCACAGAAAAATCCTCGACATCAATCACAGGCATCTTACAAGTGTTTGGAAACAGTAACAACAGAACGCTAAAAATAAATTGACAAACGTTCATGACATCTCATGGAATTTTAATCAACAAAAGAAAGTTACCATGAGTGCTATTATCTTAAATATAACAAATATTAATGGTCACTTCTTCGCACATATTCTGTATTCTTTTCAAGATTGATGGACTGATTGCATCGACTCAAGGCTGATTACTCCAAACTTCTCCTGTTCTTCACCATTCTCCTTTGTATGGACTGACGAAGCCACTGTGTGGCGAAACTTTTCCTCAAAGATACCCCAAGTGTTGCACATGTGTCTAATTTATCAACTTGTTGGTTCTCGGAACCATTTATCCACAGTAGAAGAACTCTTGTGGGCCCTGAATGCCCTGAAGGCTCGATCCTCTGTTCTTTGACAGTAATTCCCAGTAACTTCTGGAAGTAATATCTTCCTATTTTAGTATTTATCATTTTTAAACAAATTTATAGTTTCAAACCTGACTTAACGTAATTATTTTAGGTATATTCTAATATATTTTTTTTTTTTATTTTCAGATTCTCAAAATGTAGCATAAAATTTTTCATTCTGCTTATTCGGCAGAAATTACCCTTGCTTTTTAAGGCCAAACTCGCCGGGGTGGGCTTATAATTATATATATATATATATATTACACATCTAATAGATATATAGAGATGTATTGGATGTGAAAATTTAGATATCCGCGGATGTGTATGAGAATCTCTTATTTTGCGGATGTAAGAAATTGTGCGGATGTTCTACGGATGTTGATGCGGATGTAAAAATTTTGTCCGGATGTTCCACGGATGCGGATATCTGTTTGCAGTAAAATGCTGATGCAGATGTGGATGCGGATGTAAGAAAATTGTGCGGATGTTCGGCGGATTCGGATGTCCGATACATCACTAATATATAAAATTAATATTTGTGTTTTATTTTGAATTTACACGAGTCCAAACTTATAAAAATTTAATAAATTCTTGGCATGAAGAAACAATAAAATTTTGAATCCTCAGTAGGTGTTAAAAAATAATATAAATATTTCGTATAAATTATTTAAAATTTCGATATTTCCTCTTTTTAGTTTTCATAATTTCTTTAATATTTATGGGCGAGAATCCGAGGACATTGCCTAGATTTGAAGGGTTTTTGATTCAAGGAATTGGAGCTTGCCTCCCTCTCCTTGGATCAGCCCTGATTACCTCTCACGGGTCTAGCGTTTCCTTCTGAATATAATAATTAATACTAATAATCATAATATAGAAATAATTAATAATAATGCAGAAAATAATATAAATTAACGTACTCTTGAGACAGTACTAACGCACTATACGTTATAAATAACGCTCCCTTATAAAAGTAACGCAACATTGGTTATAAATAACGCAATCTGTGTCTCTAGCATCTCTGTGCCTAACCTTCTCTCTGGATATCTTCCTGTTTCTATGCCTATCCTCCTTCTATGACTATTCTTCTTTTCCTGTCCCGCTATTGCTCTTCCTAACTTCCTGTTGCTCCTCTTATCCTGCTGTCTCTCTCCTTATCCTCCAATTTATCTCACTATTAATCTATATCTCGGTAATCACCTGGGACTAGTCTTATGACAGTGACAACTGGAGTGTATGTATAAATGTGTGTGCGTGTGTGCGTGTGTGCGTGTGTGCGTGTGTGTGTGTGTGTATGTGTGTGTGGTGTGTTTTGGATAATCATCTGTCACTTGCGGTCGTGTGCACGCACGCACGCGCACGCGCACGCGCACGCGCACGCACACACACACACACACACACACACACACACACACACACAAAACACAAAACTGACTTAAAATACCAAAACTTCTAAATGTTATAATGAACGAGAGTCGTCAGAAGAAATACCTCAAAATATCTACAAAGAATTGCCAAACAATGACAAAACATCGTAACTGGCAAACAGCCGCACAATCACAAAGAATTACTCCCAATTTGACCTAATGGGCAGATTTACTGGAAATTTATTAATGGGTCCTGAATCACCAGAATTGGTCCTTGACAGCAATTGCAAAACGAACACCACTAATTGGCTAGATAAATTGTTTAACTAAATGCTTTATTTTATAGGAGCAGACCGTAAGAGTTTTGTGTGTGTGTGTGTGTGCGTGCGTGCGTGTGTGTGTGTGTGTGTGTGTTTGCTCATTTATCTAGAAATTACTTAATAGGCGATATACTACAATTGTTCACTACCATACCTGACAGATAATATAGAAATATATATATCTTCCCATTTAGTTCTAGACAGCAGGAATGAGATTTAAGATGATCTAGTGTGTACTATACTCGCTGGGATCTTTATAAAATTTTATGAAGCTAAATTCTGAAAGTGGGACACCACGAGTATAACGAGTCATGTTCCAGTTGTTCGGAGCTTCATTCCAGCAGTAAAGAATATCGTTTCAGTTCTTAGAGGCTTCGTTCCAGCACCTCGAGGTCTCCATCAGTTTGGAGTGCCGTTCCTGCAGTTCAAGGTGTCCTTCCAGCAGTTTAGAACTTCGTTTCATCTCCTAGAGGCTTCGTTCCAGCATTTTGAGGTCTCGTTACACCAGTTCGGAGTGCTGTTCCGCCAAGCAGCAGCAGCACAAGGTTTCGTTCCAGCACCTCAAGGTCTCATTCCAGCAGTTCAAGGTCTCGTTCCAGTAGTTCAAAATCTCGTTCCAGCAGCTCTAGATCTCGCTGCAGCAGTTCCAGGTCTCGTTCCAGAGGTTCAAGATCTACTTCCAGCAGTTCGGAGGTCTCATAACTAACTTAGCTCTTTGGAGATTTTCAGGGTATGGGTGAGGTCAAAAATTTAATTACATTAATGTTATACAAGCCCGACAAATTGATTATGTAGGCCCATGTGAAACGCCTAGTTATCTGCATAACCTGGAGAGTTCCAGGGGTCAACGCCCCCGCGGCCCGGTCTGTGACCAGGCCTTTCCAGGACGTTTCCGCAACTAATCGTTTTTTTCAGTAAAGACTGTGGAACTAATTACTTCATCTTCCACTATTTCCAGTACGTAATCCCTGTATTGCCTTGGAAATAGCCACTGCCTGGCGAAAAGCCATCAAAATAAAGATACCCAGGTGTTGCACGTGTCGAGTGCATAAGAAAAACTCTACGGGATCTACACTATCAAATTCATGTTACTAAACCATCAACTGTGTTCCCGCTACTTGAATTTATTGATGATGTGAACACTCGCATCTTTACGTGCAAATCAATATGATAAATAATTTAACCTGTTTAATGCCTTATGGTTTCATGCACAAAAAAATTCTCTATCCATACTTAGCTGGTCTCGCAGGACTCTCGTTAATTCATAGAAAGTTCTGTATCCATACGCTGTCTCCCAGAACTGTCGTTAATAGAGAGTTCTTAATCCATACGGTGTTTGATCCTAAGTTTGTTGTTTATACAAGAAAATGCATTATGATATATTTATATTAATTATCGGCAGTGAATTAGTGTATTATTTTTTAGACGAAGCGCTGAGTATATGTGGATGATTCAGTATAAGGAAGGATGGATGCTTGATTTTCCGTCCGTTAATTCAGAGAATGTTGGTGTTCAACTCTGTAGTGTTCACAGATTATTCTAACGAGTTTGCTTCTTTTCAGTTGTGTGAAGGTCGCCATGTTGGCGGTCATGTCTGGGGTAAAGAGGGAGCGTCCGCCCACGCCCACATCTCCGTCTCATCACCCGCCCACGACACATACACCCACGACCACGCCTCCCACGCCTCCTTCACCCCAACCACCAACCGAGCCTCTGAATTTTTCACGCCCCAAGCCGCTCTTGTCCGACCCTCCCATGCCGCCCACGAGTCTTCACGCCTGTTTGAGTATGGAGATGGCGCGGGCGGGTATATGTGGAAGCGGTGGGCGGCTTGGGATGCTGGGTGGTCACCCTGGGCGGCTGGGCGGCCTTGTGCCACCTCTCCTGCCAGCTTCATCACTCTTTCCACACTTACGCTTCAATCTTGGTCACGAAGAGGGAGAGGAGAGAGGACTGAAGCGACCGCTGGAGAATGACTTCGAAGTTCACCACCAGCTAGACCTGACCTCCCTGGAGGGACAGCAGCGGCCCATGCGCCTCGAACCCCCACACTTGGAAGAGCCACGCAGAAAACAGCGAAGATACCGAACAACCTTCACTACCTACCAACTGGAGGAGATGGAAAAGGTGTTTCTTAAGACACAGTACCCAGACGTTGTAACCAGGTAAGTCTTACTTCTTGAACCCCATCGCTAGAACAAGGTCTCTGTAGACAGTTCCCAGACGTTATAACGAGGTGAACTCCGTCCCTAGAACAATGTTTCTGTAGACACAGTACCCAGATGTTATAACGAGGTGAACCCCATCCCTAGAACAACGTTTCTGTAGACACAGTACCCAGACGTCGTTACAAGTCTTACTCCTTGACCTCCATCACTAGAACCAGGGTCGCTGTACTCCACAGTCTGATCTGAGAAGTCAAAGGGTTATATACACTACAGAGGATCGAACCCCCGCTTTCCATATGTTTTCCCCACTACTTGACCAAGGTAACAAGACAGTCAGTGTCTAGCGTATCCCTATAAACAAAGTAATTATCGTATGTTAAGTTCTGGTATCTCACAGTCGGGTGGAGACTGCCTTTACTTCCTTATAGGAGACAGGAGGTTTGAAGCTCTTGGATTTTACACAGTAACATTTCTAATATGGTGGTAGAGGCTTGATCCTCCGTCCGTAAATGGCAAGATAAACTTGATGGTAACATGTCCCTGAAGCTCAGCCGTGAAAGTTTACACAATTTCTGTTTGTTGGGAATTTTTTGTTTAATGTAGTTAACTCTTACTTACCTTGAAGCAGTTCTGTTTAAGATTACAAGCACACACACACACACACACACACACACACACACACATATATATACTCGACCCCTGCAACCACAACTAGGTGGCGTGAGCACACACACACGAAGCGAAGAGGTGAGGCCAGGAGCTATGACTCGACCCCTTCAACCACAACTAGGTGATGTGAGCACACACACACGAAGCGAAGAGGTGAGGCCAGGAGCTATGACTCGACCCCTTCAACCACAACTAGGTGACGTGAGCACACACACGAAGCGAAGAGGTGAGGCCAGGAGCTATGACTCGACCCCTTCAACCACAACTAGGTGACGTGAGCACACACACGAAGCGAAGAGGTGAGGCCAGGAGCTATAACTCGACCCCTTCAACCACAACTAGGTGAGTAGTGATGAGTCACAGTTGTTAGGAAGTGGAACAGTCTAGATGTCGTGGAGGCAGGATCAATACATAGCTTTAAGATGAGATACAATAAAGCTCTTGAAGCAGGGAGAGGATCTAGAGAGAGGACCAACGAAGAGGCGGGGCCAGAAGCTACGAATCAACCCCTGCAATCACAAATAGGCGAGTACAAATAGGTGAATACACACACACACACACACACACAGAAATGTTACGACTACCTTCAACATACAATATGGAAGAATATTCGACACCCACTCTTTTGCGTGTTTATAAGCGTGTATGTGTGTTTTCGTTATGTATACGTGTGCCTGTGTGCGTTCTTGCGTGAGAACACTGTGTACACACTTGTGTGTGTGCTTTGAATTCTTCTTAAAACACTTTTCACCTTTTTTACAGAAAAGTAATTACGGAGAATTAGAGTGAGTGAAGAGTGGCAGATCTGTGTTAGGGCTGTAATTATGAGTATGTTATTGCAGTAATTATTTAAATAAAGTCTACAGAAAGACCCAAAGCCCATTGAAGATATTAAAAGATATATATAAGTAGCAGCTTTGCGTTTTACTACTTTGGTTCAGCTAAATTATATTAATCTATAATTTCATAGTTACCCTGGCAATAACTAAATTTAAGGAGAAAACGGGAGGTTTAGGTCTGGCAGAGCTGGCCAAATCGCTCCTTTCTGAGACTGGATTCACGAGTTTGTATATTATCGTGTTGCCTGGGAATTCTCACCGTGAATCGAAACTTGGCATCAAGTGGATTCATCTGTAGAAATATCCAAATGCATTCCTATTCAATTTTGTGGGGCCTGGTCCCAAGGCCTTTCTTGTAATCATATATTTTTGGCTACCATCCACAGGATGGATATGAGGTACACAATAAACTAGCCACTACCATCCACAGGATGGATATGAGGTACACAATAAACTAGCCACTACCATCCACAGGATGGATATGAGGTGCACAATAAACTAGCCACTACCATCCACAGGATGGATATGAGGTACACAATAAACTAGCCACTACCATCCACAGGATGGATATGAGGTACACAATAAACTAGCCACTACCATCCACAGGATGGATATGAGGTGCACAATAAACTAGCCACTACCATCCACAGGATGGATATGAGGTACACAATAAACTAGCCACTACCATCCACAGGATGGATATGAGGTGCACAATAAACTAGCCACTACCATCCACAGGATGGACATGAGGTACACAATAAACTAGCCACTACTATCCACAGGATGGATATGAGGGGCACAATAAACTAGCCACTACCATCCACAGGATGGATATGAGGGGCACAATAAACTAGCCACTACCATCCACAGGATGGATATGAGGTACACAATAAACTAGTTACTACCATCCACAGGATGGATATGAGGTACACAATAAACTAGTTACTACCATCCACAGGATGGATATGAGGTACACAATAAACTAGTTACTACCATCCACAGGATGGATATGAGGTACACAATAAACTAGTTACTACCATCCACAGGATGGATATGAGGTACACAATAAACTAGTTACTACCATCCACAGGATGGATATGAGGTACACAATAAACTAGCCACTACCATCCACAGGATGGATATGAGGTACACAATGAACTAGCCACTACCATCCACAGGATGGACATGAGGTACACAATAAACTAGCCACTACTATCCACAGGATGGATATGAGGAGCACAATAAACTAGCCACTACCATCCACAGGATGGACATGAGGTACACAATAAACTAGCCACTACTATCCACAGGATGGATATGAGGGGCACAATAAACTAGCCACTACCATCCACAGGATGGATATGAGGGGCACAATAAACTAGCCACTACCATCCACAGGATGGATATGAGGTACACAATAAACTAGTTACTACCATCCACAGGACGGATATGAGGTACACAATAAACTAGTTACTACCATCCACAGGATGGATATGAGGTACACAATAAACTAGTTACTACCATCCAAAGGATGGATATGAGGTACACAATAAACTAGTTACTACCATCCACAGGATGGATATAAGATGCACGAACTAGCAACTATCGTCTACAGGATGGATATGAGGGGCACAATAAACTAGCCACTTCTGCGGCAAAATCTAATCGTGCCATAGTCGGACGTCTAAAGACGCAGTTCTAATGATCTATTAGGAGCAGACAACATTTTGCCCGTATGAACAATAGAACAAAACTTAAGATGAAAAACCTGACTGGCGAAACGTCTTCATAAATATGCTCAGGTGTTAAACATGTGTTTTAGCCTTCAAGTTGTCGGTTTAAAAATCACAGAACGGTGTGGGATTCGAACTCACGGCGAGTGTGTTTTAAAACTCCAGCCTATTAATAAATCACATTAAAGGGCGATGTTAAAAGCCATTTTAAACCAAAATTCTTTTTGTCAAGAGATCGAGACTTCAAAATTGATACCTGGAGTTTACCTGGAGAAGGTTTCGGGGATCAACGCCCCCTCGGCCCGGTCTGAGACCAGACCTCGTGGTGGATCAGGATCTGATCAACCAGGTTGAAAGTTTTTGCTTTGGTTCTATAGAGGGAAAATATTTCACATACATAATTTCACTTTTTTTAGAGACTATATATAAACAAGGATTACTTTACTTACCTTTCTTTACTTACCTTGCTTTACTTACCTTGTTTTGACTGTAGTTAATTGTTTAATTTTAAAACAGACGAAACATCCAGGACTTTCACGAGTCTTAAAAATAACAATAGAAAAAAAGTCACAGTACCTTGACTGGAACAATACACATAACCCGCACATAGAAGAGAGGAGCTTAGACGACGTTTCGGTCCGATCTGGACCATTTACAAAGCCACACTGACTTTGTAAATGGTCCAAGTCGGACCGAAACGTCGTCGTAAGATCCTCTTTATGTACGAGTCGTATTAAGGCTTAGTTAAAACGAATTTCTCTCAATAGAACTTACCAAGTTTTGTACCACGACTTATTTAATATTAGCGTCTATCAATAGAAGTTAAAAGAGTCGTATAAAGCCCAAATTAATACGGACATCTATCAATAGAAACTACAATGGGTCGTAACATGTCCTAGTTAATAGGAAAATCTATCGATAGAAGCTGAAAAAGGTGGTATCATACCCCAGTTAATTCGATAATCTATCAATAGAAACTACAAGGGGTCGTAACATGTCCTAGTTAATAGGAAAATCTATCGATAGAAGCTGAAAAAGGTGGTATCATACCCCAGTTAATTCGATAATCTATCAATAGTAACTTGAAAGGGGGTCTTGTCAGGGCCAAATAGATACCAAAATGTCAGCATAGTTGCTGATCCCTGTATTCCCAGTATTATATAGCATAGCATATTAGTATCATCCCTGTGCTTTAGACACGAGATCCCTCGTAGGCCTTTGGCTTTGTGTGACGTCATGGGATACACATGGGCAGTGATCCCTCTGTCCCGTCCTCACTCGGCGGCAGACCATCAAGGCGTAGACAGGCTAGGCACTGGGCCCCATCTCTCATCTCAGTCTGACAATACACCTACCATCCTACAAGTGTGTCTACCTTATCCTACGATATCTTCATTTAAGAACCCCCTTACGATAAAAATACATCGTTAGAGGATGATAGCGCCTCGAGATGACAGTGTTGACAGTCAGTAATACCTGACTGCTTTACGTCGCCACAAGGAGGGGGATGAGGGGGGAGGGGGAAGGGCGAGAAGGGAGGGCGGAAGTGGCGTGACGTCACGTCTCACCGATGTTAACTTTCTTGTCACTCTGTATTTTGGTTTACCGTTGGTTGATTTTGGTTTACCGTTGGTTGATTTTGGTTTACCGTTGGTTGATTTTGGTTTACCGTTGGTTGATTTTGGTTTACCGTTGGTTGATTTTGGTTTACCGTTGGTTGATTCTGGATTACCGTTGGTGGATTTTAGTTTGCCGC